CTGCTTCAACTACTATACAAGTCAGTAGCCAGCCAATCTGTATCCCTGGCCCTTCTAAGTTCCCAAGGCACTAATCTCAAATGTTAAACGGACTCAAAAATAGCATCCTCTACTTTTATGTCTCAAGGACATCTTAAATTCAACATGTCCAAAACTAAACTCATTTTCCCCATAAGTCATCTTCACTTCTGTTTTGGATCTAGGTATCACCTGGCTTCTCCATATAAAAGGAACCTCTTTTCTCTTTTGTGCCATATACAGAATTCCATCATGGCACTTACACCTAGGTATCACCTTGGATACTTCCATCTCTCCTTAATTTCCTTAAGCTCCTCTATATACCCTGCCTCTCCACACTGCTACTAACTCAAGTCTGTATGTCTCTTGCTTAGATTACTCAACTGCTTCCTAATCTCTTTCTGTCTGATCCTTTCCCTTAAATCTAGCCACAAGATTGTTACTTGATTTGGCCATATGACCCACCCTACTTAAAACCCTTCAAATAAAAAAAAATTAAAAAATATTTTTAAAAAAACCCTTCAAATAGGGTTAGGGGTGTAGCTCAATAGTACAGCATGTATGTGGTTAGCAAGCATGAGGTCAACCCTAGCACAAAAACAAAATAAAACCTTCAGTGGATACATAAGAAACTTCAGGTAGTTGTGGTGGTGCTCGCCTGTAATTCTAGCTATTCAAGAGGCTGAGGCAGGAGGATTTTGTGAGTCCAAGAATTTAAGGCCAGCCTGGTTAACATGGAGTGATCCCAAGAAAAGAAGAGACGATAAGTAAGTAAATAAATAAATAAGAAAAACAAAGAAAGAAAAGGATAGAAAAAACAAAAAGGATTTAAAAAAAAAAAAAAAAAAACAGAAAGAAACAAAAGAGAAGAGCTGGGTAAAGTGACTATGCCGTAATTCCAGCTCCCTGGGAAGCCAAGGCAGGGCCATAAATTCAAGGACAGTCTCTGCAATTTATCAAGAACCTATCTCAAAAAAAAAAAGACCCCACATGCCTGTAATCCCAGTGGCTCTGGAGGATGAGGCAGGAGGATCGAAAGTTCAAAGCCAGCCTCAGCAATTCAGCAAGGCCCTGGCCAACTCAGCAAGACTCTGTCTCTAAATAAAATATAAAAAAGGGCTGGGGAGCTCAGTGGCTAAGCGCCCCTGGGTTCAATCCCCAGTACCAAAAAAGAAAATTTAAAAAAGGAAAAGAAAAGGGGAAGAAACTTCATAGCAACACCTCTGGGAATAAATGGGAGATCTAGAGTTAGAAAAAAATTTCTTTCATGTTGATACTATTGGAATTGTTTACCATTAACATGCACTACTATAAAAAAACTAAAGTTTTGATGACCCTCAACACAAAGTTCTTCATGATATCCCAGCAGTTATCTTTCAAGCTTCTTGCTCAAGTTATTCGTATATCCAGAACACCCTTCCATCAACCTAGAGTCTGTCAAATTCTCTCTTTTTTCTAAGACCAAGTCTGGCTAAATTGCCCAGGCTGGCCTGGAACTTGTAATCCCTCCCACTTCAGCCTGCCCAGTAGTAGAGTAATCGGAGTATACTATCACACCCCCAACTTATTGAATTCTCTTTTGAAATGGCCCAAATGGCAATTCTTCCTGGCTTCTCCATATAAAAGGAACCTCTTTTCTCTTTTGTGCCATATATAGAATTCCATCATGGCACTTACACCTCTGTTAGTCTCTCATATAATAGTTTATATTCGTTTAAAATGTCTGTGTCTGTCTCCTTCCACTAGCCTCAGATTCCCTGAGGACAGGAATTGTTTCTTATTCATCTTTGAATTTTCAGAACCTGGTTATGAGATCAAAATTTCCAGGTGTGGCTTGGGCAAAAATATTTCGAAAATGCTCCTCAGGTGATTTTAATTTAATCTGCTGTTAACAACTGCACTAAATGTAAACTTTTGGGAGTTGTATCCAGAGGCTCTTTACCACTGGGCTACACATCCCTAGCCCTTTTTAAAAATTTTTTTATTTTAGGACAGAGCCTTGCTACATTGCCCAGGCTGGTTTTGAACTTGTGATCTTCACGCCTTAATGTAGGAATGCATCACCAAGCCCCACTAAAATGTTAACTTCTTGATCTCAGGAATCATCATGACTAGCACAATGTAGGTGCTCAATAAATGCTTTACTAAACTTAAGTAGACAAGTCTAAAGTTGAGGATGCAACTGGAGATTTGGAGGCATTAGGATATATAGGATAGTATTTGAGTGAGGAGTGAGAGGAGTAAGGAAATAAGGAACTCTGTCACTGTAATGCAGAAGACTCTCACTTCTATGTTTTTGCTACCAAAATGAATTCCTCAAGGGCAGGAATTCTGTCCTATGCATCTCTACATACTTGACGCTGAGTACACTGCATAGTACAGATGAGGGGCTCAGTAACATTTTATTGAGTTCAGAGCCACTGATAGTAAAGGGAGATACAATATTTCATGGACACAAGGGAGAAAGTGATCAGCTTGGTGTGGGAAGGCTGGATAAACTGAATTTCAGAGGGACAAGACAAGTTATGTGGCCGAAAAACAACAATAACTTCCAAGAAGAGGTCACAGGAGGATCATAGATACTAGGTATGAAAGTGTATAATGCAGATACACCCTTTCCCTGTGACTGTGAGTCAAGCGCAAGACATAAATGTCATGTTTTTAGAAATGAGGCTTTAAAGGTCAGAAACAGATTATGAAAGGCCCCTTATGCCACCTAAGAATTTACTCCTGTGAATGGCCAAAACGGAGCCTTAAAGTTAACGTTAAACAACAAGTTTAACTTTTTTTTTTTTAAAGGTACTGGTGTCAGTATGAAAGGCAGAATAAACAATTAGGAGAGAGAGAGAGACTCAAGAGATGGAGCTTAATTAGTGACTAAAGGTCTGGTTGACAAACCCGAATAGAGGCCGTATCTTACTTAAACTTTCCACCCAGGATAAAAGGGAGAGGGAACGTAATTCATTCTTTTTAAAAAATTCGAGATTTAAATCAAGCGGCCTGTGAACTCCGACCCCTGATGACCATCAGGCCTCTCACGTTTCTTCGAGTCTGAACCGGATGTGGAGTTCCGAAGTGAAAACCCAAAAGAACCTTCTGCTCTACTTTCAGGGCTCCAAGCCCCTAGTCATCACAGTCCCATCCACTGGGACCCCAAGGTGTGCAAAGCAGCGTGGGAGGGGTGCAGTGAGAGTTCAACACCGCGCCTGGAACCGCGGAGGCGAGCCCGAGAAGGCGCAGGGTAGGAATGCGCGTGCGCGCTTAGAGACGCGTCCAGCCCTCGGCCTTTAAACCCGATGGCGGGAACTGGGACTCGGCGCCTCCCAAGCCTGTCCCCGCAATTTCGAGAGGACCTCAGTCCACCCAGAACCCTTTTGCCACACACACTCACCCGCTCTCGCGGGTCCTCCGGAGCCTCTCAGACCCAGCTGCCCTCAGGCGCTGGACTACAACATTTCCCGCCACCAGACACAGGAGACCGGTCCCCGCCTGCTTGGGGCGCGGGGCGGGGCGAGGCGGGCTGGTCCACTGACTCCGAGCGAATGGGGGAGAAGGGAATGGTTGGTGACGAAGTAAGGAAAAGGGAAGCGAATAAAAGGACTGTTTTATCCGAATATGTTCCCTACATTGACCTAAAAGTCACAACGCTATGAATAGTCTGCTGAATTATAATAATAACCAAGTTCAGATTAGAGATAAATTCACATTTTCCCCTTCGGTCAAGTGGACTATTCCAAAGTCATCAGGATTAGTTGGAAAAGTTACATTTTATTTGGGAGGAAGTGGAGGTACCCGCCGAAATTAAAGTTGTCTGTTATACTGATACTGTAGGCATAAGTCTAACAAGTATGCAAGAGGCTTATAAAAGGAAGAAATCAACAATAAATATTCATTATTCAGTTGAGGATCTCTTCCAGCCTCTGCTGATACAGTGTATTTTGCCAATGAATTGAAAGAAGATGGGGCTGAAAAGAAAGGTTATCTCCTGAAGTATTACTCATTTGAATACAAGGAATGAGTTTCTGGGTTATGAGGGAGGGTTAGCTATGAGATGAAAGGACAGATGAGAGAAAAGTGAAAAGATACATACAAAAAGAAAAAAAGACTATGGAGCTAGTAGTGATAAAAGCAGAAAGACTCCATTTGGAGAGTGTTTTGATTTGTTTTGAATAAGCTAAATCTCCGAAAGTCAAAGCCTCTCTCTTCTTGTCACAGACTCCTTCCCCTATGTTTCTCAAGGCAAAAAATTTCCTGTTTTGCCTTTAAGAAATAATTTTGGGGCTTAAGTTCCATCTGCCAGGGCATGTCAAATGGACTCCTTAAGCTGCCTAATTTTTCTAGATTCTAGGCTCGCCCACCTGCTATTTAGGTTGGGAGCTCCCTGGCCCAGGACCTCCAAGGAGATCCATTATGCCAGAATGAACACACAACCCAGCCAGTGGATGTAGACAGGTTTATGTGGTTTTACAGAACAGTCCAAGTCCCAGTGTTCACTTTTCTCAGAGCTACTTCCCCACCCAAGTCCCTGGGGCAGCATCCCTGAGATAAGTAAGCTACATTCTCCTATTATCTTCATTAAAACTTTTAGGTAAACTTGCATAGTGATCTGGGGCTAATACCTCCATTTCCTCTCCTACCCACCTACCTTGAGTCCTTTCTCCCAACCCTTGGAATACCCTGTCTACTTTCTCCATCTGTCTCTGGGAGGAGTAATCTCTCTGCTTACCTGTTCCCTCAGAAATCAAGAGCCATACATTTGACTGCAAGCAGGGTAAAGGCCAGAAATTAAGGTCGGTTCCCTGTACTCATCACACCAGGCTGGGGGGAAGGACATATACGTTGACACCTTTTCCCTTACCTAGCTCTCATGCCCCAAAACTCAGACACAGGCACACTCACCTACATTCATACACACAATCATGCACACACACGGCGAAGGGAAGTGGGATGGGGAGGAAGGGAAGTTTGCACCAACCAGCTCATGAATGCAACTTGAAAGATTTCACACAGCAAAAGAAAAAAAAAACACACATAAGTTAAAAAATAAAGAAGTACATGCCCCTCCCCACAGTTTTTTTCTTCAACTAGGGGCTGTCTCAGCCCCTCCACAGAAACCCAGAAGCTTTCTACTCCCTCACTCCATCTGGAGCTTTTACAGAGCCTGGGTCTTCAGTTCAACAGGTTCCCCTGTGCCCTCTGGTTGTCCATTGGAGTCACTGGGTCTGACACCCTTGAGGATAGACAGTCTCTCAGAAACACTCTTGAGCCGGGGGAAGAGAAGAAAGTCGTAGAGAAGGCTGCCCAGACCCCCTCCAATGATCGGGCCCACCCAGTATACCTGTAGGGAAACAAAAGGAAGTCTTAAGTTTGAGGAGGGGACTCAGCAGCAAGGATGCTCTTTTTCTAACCCTCTTAGTTAAAAAGAAGATATCTTGAACTTGTCACATGCAATTGGGCAGGTATTGTCTAAATAAAAATCAGTGTGGGTTTTTGTTGTTGTTGTTTGTTTGTCTGTATGCTTGCAGTGCTAGGGATTAGAAATCATGACTCCACTTTTTGTGACAGGCTGACTTCACACTGTACACTGAGCTATATTCCCATCCCTGATGTAAACTATAGACCCTACTCCCCACTGTCTCTATTTCAAAACGTATCATTTCTTTTTTTTTCTGATCATTTTAAAAATTATTTTTTATTTTTATTTTTTGTGGTACAGGGGATTGAACTCAGGGTGATCTACCACTGAGCTACGACCCCAGGCCTTTTTTAAAATTTTATTTTGAGACAGGGTCTTACTAAATTGCCCAGACTAACCTTACAATCCTACTGCCTTCTCCAAGTTGTGGGGATTACCAGCATGTGCCTCTGTGCCTTGCTATCCCATACCTTCTTAGCACATGTATATTTTATTTGTTATCAATTTTTACATTTCTTTCAAGAAAGTTTTGTAGATTGTAGTAAAATATACTTCATAACATAAATTTACCTTTATTACAAACTTTTAAACATGCAGTTCAGTAGTGTTAACTGTTTTCATTCCCAGAGTTGTTCAACCCATTTCCAGAATATTTCATTTTGTAAAATTGAAACTCTATAGCCATTGAACAACAACTACTATTCCCCTACCCTATACCCTGGCAAACAACTACCCTTCTACTTTCTGTTTCTATAAATTTGAGTTTCTACCTCATGTAAGTGGAACTACTTAGGACTAGTCTTTTTGTGACAGACTGACTTCACTTTCACATAATGTCCTCAAGGTTCATCCATGTTGTAGCATGAGTCAGAATTTCCTTTCTTTTTAAGGCTGAATAATGTTCCGTGTATGTAAGTCCACATAGGGTTGCTTCCATCTCTTGGCTATTGTGAATAATGTTGCCATGAAATGAAAAAACAACTTTGAAGTTTTTAAAAACTATTTTCATATGTTTGGCTTGCATATGGCCAAAACAACATAAACAACCAATATTTATTAGAGACTTACTCCATTTTCAGATTCTGTGCTAATGTTTCATGCATATAACTTTCACACTTATTGATCATATAATCTCATTTTACAGTTATAGAAACTAAGGTACAGATGATTATTTGCCCAGGGTCACACACAAGACTAGTAAAGTGTTAGAAATGGAAATAGGCCCACAGCCATTTGTGCTCACACACATACTGATATCTGAGAGCAGAATTTATTGTCTTCATATTTAGTTGTTTATCCTATTTTCTCTAGTTTGGGCATCTGATGGATACTAAGTAAAAAAAAAAAAACAAGTCTATCCAGAGAAAGAACAATGAGCAAGAGCTTTTTTTTTTTTTTTTTTTTGGCAAGAGCTTTTTATGAGATATGATCTCACTATTTTGTCCAGGCTGGTCTCAAACTTCTGGGCTCAGGATCCTCCTGTCTCAGCCTCCTGAGTGCTGGGACTATAGGTGTATGTCACCGTGTCCATTAGCCTCTCTTTCTAGCAAAATAATGCAACCTGTTCACATGTACATGCCATGCTCTCAGATAGCTCCTTAATTGAGTGTTGGTAGAGAAGCCAACACAACCAGATGGAAAGCAGAAACCAAATCTGGAATCTGCAATCCAGTCCCATCCAGGAGGGCTCTAGGATCTTGTCCTTCTCCCCTCACTCACCCAGTGGTTGGTGAAGTTCCTGGTGAGAATGGCAGGAGCAAAGGAACGGGCAGGATTCATGCCTGCACCAGTATAATACATCTGCAAAAGACACAGTTGTAACTGAGACACACCCCCTTCCACCCAGCTTTTCTCCTCATAGCCCATATTGCCCCTCAGAGCTGGTAATCTCGTGTCCAGCCAGCAGCAAGTGGGGAAGGACAAACTACATAACTCTTCAGGGGGTTCCACAGTGGGTGAGGGCACTGATACCCTATCTGGGATATACTATAGACCAATAAACAAAGCCCAAGTTGAACTATGATGCGTGCATGCATTTCTTACCAAGGGTCAAGAAGAACTAGGTATAGCAATCACAAGACAGAGGGATAGGGCAGGGTTAATTCCTGTGCGCCAAATGATATAGAGTAAGATGAATAACGTTCCTATTTGAGTGGGCAGGAAGAACACCTAAAAGTTGGGAAAGGTTTGGGGGCCCTGGTATCCTTGAATGAGAAGTTGTTCCCCTTTCCTGCTTACCCCAAAGAGGTGCCCCAGAGTGAGGGAGAAGCCAACGGCCAGGGCCACGGAGCCCAGGCGGCCATTTCGCCTCTCGTCGTATGTGGCAAAGATGCAGAGCACGAACTGGAGCGTCAGGAAGATCTCCACTGTGGTGGCCTGGCTCACACTCACCCCAGGGTGCAGCTGGGCAAAGGAAGAAGAAGGGAGGCAGCTCATTAGGGCTGCCACAGCATTACCTCCTCAAGGCTTTCAGGTAGCGATCCCCTCTGGCATCAGTTTCCTGGAGAGGAAGGATATACAACCCCCTTCACAGCAATTGTATCTGTAAATTCTCCTGACAATACACCTTTATGGTAGAAAAGATTGTACCCACTTACATGGATGAGGAAATTGAGGCCCCACAAGGTAAAATAAGTTTCCTTAAGACCTTGACAGAAGATGGAAGGAAAGATGGAATTTGAACTCAGCTTGTTCTCTTTCTTTTGTTCTTTTTTCTTTTTTGTGATTATGGGGATCAAGTCCAGGGCCTCACACCTCACACATGCTAAGTAAGCATTCTACCACTACATTGTATCCTCTGCCCTCAGGTTTTTTGATTCTCAGTCCAGGGCTCTATGCCTTTCTTACCCCTCCAAGCCACCTGTTGATCTTCCCTGCCCTGAAACACACACACATACAAACGTGCACACACCTACACATTGTACCATGCAGGGAGTCAGGGAAACAGAGTCAGGACACGAGATGCCCCCAACCCTTCCCAGTCAACCATTACCGTGTTGAGCGCTAGGTTTCCTCGGACAGCAGGTGGGGTGACACTATACAGCACAGCGGCCCCAGCCACGGCTCCCAGGAGTTGGGCTGCCATATAGCAGAAGGCGCGGAGCAGGGACATCTGGGAGCCCACAAGGAAGGCAAAAGTGACTGCAGGATTGACATGGGCTCCACTAATGTGGCCCACTGCTTGCACCAGTGTAGCCAGGGCCAGACCAAAAGCCAGGGCCACCTGCAGGACATGCAGGGGTCCAGGGGTCCAACGTAGTGAGGCCCCCAGCCCAAAGAAGACGTAGAAGAGGGTAGCAAAGAACTCGGCAAATATGGCCCTCCAGAAGGAGGCAGACCGCAGTTCCCACATGGCAGGGGGGATGGGCAAAGCACCTGGGTCCTGGACACCCCCCTGATCTTGTCTGGGTGGATAGTCCCCTTTATAGAGGACTCTTAATCCCTGGGAGGGGCAGACTGAAGCAGCTGGCCCTGCCTCTTAACCCCTTCACAGCTGTAGAGGGTTGAATCCATTCCCATACATCTGATAGAGCTGCTGGATTTTTCCTTCCCTTCTCAACTGGAGATGAGCCGAGAGAACCACAGGGATGAGGCTCATGGATGGGGGACTAGAAGAGTCTGTCCTTCTATCTGCGTCAAAGTTGGGGTTCACAGACATGATTAACATCTATATTAGAACATTCCTCCAATCCCCTTGGAAGGTCTGTCAAGCTGAGTTCACTTTGTGTGAGTTATGGGGCTGTGCTCTTGGGGACCTCAGATTCCTCTTAGACTACTGGGGGTAAGGGTGGGGGTGGGGGTAAGGAGTGGGGTTCAGCAGGGAAGTTGGATAACTGAAGAGAATTCTTTAGTTCCCTGGGATTACAGGGCCTTCTCCCATTGGCTGGTTTGGGCTGGAATCTGTGGACCCTGCAGCTCTGGGACAGAATAGTTCTGCTGTGTCTGGCTTTCTCCGAGCCCAGGTTCCCTACCCCCAACCCATGCCAGCACCTTCTTTCCCAAACCCTCAGCCTGGTCTTTTAAACCATAGAGACAGATGAGGAAAGAAGCTGTCCTTTGAGCATAGGCTGGGAGTGGGGTTGGGGGGTCTAGGATGAGGAAAGGGGTTAATAGTAAAACCTCACAATCAGCTTGTACAAGGCAGAGTAGGAAGTTGTGAAAGGAAGGAACCCAAATCATGGCTATGAAACCATGTGAGGGTCTAATGTTTTCTAATATAGCCATGATCGGGATACTGGGGTCCTAAACCTTGGTCCCCTGGGAAAGGTATAGGGATGAGGAAACAGAATCTGAGGAAAGAGGCTGGTCAAGGACAACATGGGGAAGGAAAGTTTGGGGAGACAAGTCAAACTGTGCTCAAACTTAGTGAGGGATTTGGGACCTAGGGGAGGGGCCGTGTAGTTGGAGAAGGTGAAATAAGATACTCCAATAGGCTCATCACCTTTACTTAGTGGTGAGTTATGCAGGTCACTAGCTTTTCCTGTGAAGTACCAGAGAACAGAACTTTGAAGGTGAGGCCTGCAAAGATGATACCAGGTGTAAGTCCCATGCAATGTACCTGTGGGGAGAGAAGAGGAACATATATCAGGACCTGTGCTTCTCTCCTCCAGTATCCAGCTTGTGGGTAGATAAGATAGTTACAAGAAAGTCCAAAGGTCCCTCTAACCATCCACTGGAAGGAAAAGTTGCCAAGATCAGAGGGCACCCAAAGCTGGCCCTCCTGATTTCATGGAAAAGGAGTCTATCAGCAGTCCTTAGAGTCTGTTGCATTTTAGAAGCCCCACCAATCTTCTGACTTCAAGCCCCATATTATTTGCTGCACCTTACCCAGTTTCCCAGTCACCACTGCTGTCTGCAGGGAGTGCACAGGGTTTGGAATGTCTCCAGAAAAGGTACCAAACAGAAAAGTGGGTAGCACATCATGGCCTTAAGAGTAGAGACTTCAGCTGGGTGCAGTGGCAAAGCCTGTAATCCCGGTGACTCAAGAGGCTGAGGCAGGAGGATTGTGAGTTCAAAGCTAGCCTCAGCAACTTAGCAAGGCCCTAAGTAACTTAAGGAGACCTGTCTCAAATAAAATAAAATAAAAGGCTGAGGATGTGGCTCAATTAAAATACAAATATATCCCTTGGTTCCAATGCCTAGTACCAAAATATAACAAGAATAGAGACTTGGGGCTGGGGTTGTGCCTCAGTGGTAGATTACTTGCACTGAGTTTGATCCTCAGCACCACATAAAAACAAATAAATAAACAAATATATTGTGTCTATCTACAACTAAAATTTTATTTAAAAGAAAAAAAGAGTAGAGACTTTGGTGACAGCTATTTTGGTGCAGATGTAGGTAAGAATCCAAAATGATGGAACCAGTTATGACTATTAGTGGGAGTGTAAATTGGGGTAATCACTTTGGATAGATAGCACCACTGAATAAATTCAAGCAAACACATATTTACTGACTCAGGAATGTCACTTATATACCCAGGAGAAGATTTTCTATAAATACTCCAAAAGACACATACAAAAATGTTTACAATAGCAATATTCACAATGGCAAAAAACTAAAAGCAACCCAAATCAATGGAGAATGAAGAGATAAACAATGGTATAGTCACATGAAGGGATATTACTCATCAACATGAATGAATCACCATAGTGACACTTAATAATAGTGATGAATTTTATCAATAAAATAAATTTTAAATTTTTCAGAAAATTATACTTACCATGATAACCTTTTTTTTAAATTTTGATTGTAGATGGACACAATACCTTTAATTTATTTATTTATTTTTATGTGGTGCTGAAGATCAAACTCAGTGCCTCACACTGCTAGCCAAGTGCTCTACCACTGAGTTATAACTCCAACTGCATGATAACGTTTTTTTTTGGGGGGGTTAAAAACAACTAAAATACAAATATGTTCCTCAGGATACGGATGAGATAAAACTATACAAAAATGATATAAGTATGAGGACAGGATTCAGGATGATGCTTACCTTGGTTTAGAGGAAAGATATGGGAACCCAGGGGTGCTTAATCATTGAGCCACATTGCCAGCCCTTTTAAAAAAGATTTTATTTAGAGGCAAGGTGTTGCTTGAGTTGCTGACCTTGAACTTATGATCCTCCTGCCTCAGCCTCCTGAGCCGCTGCAATTATAGGCATGCACTACTATGCCTGACCTAAACATTATTAAAAATAAATAAGGCTGCCAGGCACGTTAGCACACACACCTGTAATCCCAGCAATTTGGGTGGCTGAGACAGGAGGATCACAAGTTTCAGGTCCACCTCAGCAACTTCATGAGGCCTGCCTCAAAATAAAAAGGGATAGGGATGTAGCTCAGGGGTAAAGTACTGCTGAGTTCAATTCCCAGTATCACAAAAACAAAACAAAACTAAACCAAAAGAAATGGGGCTGGGGTAGCTCAGTGGTAGTGCGCCTGGCTGGCATGCACAAGGTTCAAACCTAAGTACTGCAAAAATAACTATTACCCTAAAAAAATATATAGGTAAGTCGGGCCACATATGGGCTAATGAGAAGGGATATCATAAACAAAGAAATATTCTGTTTACCCAAAATTTATAAAGAAGAGCAGTGCTAACAACAATCCTTGCTTTATCACTTTCTAGTTAGGCAAGTTATCCCAACTTGATATAAACTTCAGGACAGCAGAGACTGTACCGGATCTCTTCACCACTGCAAACCTGGTGCTTGACATACTAGAAAGCAGAAAATAAAAATCTGTTGAATCAAGCTGGAGGACTCAGCATCTGGGGAGGCTGAGGCAGGAGGATCACAAGTTCAAGACCAGCCTCAGCAATTTAGTGAGACCCTGTCTCAAAATACAAAAATTAAAAGGACTGGGAATATAGTTCAGTGGTAAAGTTCTCCTGGGTTCAATCCCAGAACAAGAAAAAAAAAATTGTTGAATCAATTTAATGTAAACTATCAGCCTCAGTTTCCTCTGGATCAAATAAGATAAAGTAGGTAAAGAGTCTAGTATTGTCCCTGGCTAAAGTACTTAGGGAATAATTTAACAAGGGTTTAATTAACAGGAAGGGGTGATCTCACCAACCTTGTAGCCTCTTTTTTTTCACCCTTGGTACTGGGGATTGAACTGAGGGGTGCTTTATCACTGAGCCATATCCGTAATCCTTTTTATTTTGAGACAGGGTCTCTCTAAGTTGCCAAGGCTAATCTCCAACTTGGGATCCTAATGCCTCAGCCTGTCAATTCCCAGCTTCCACAGGTTCTCATGAAAAGGAACAGGCTAAAAAAAAAAAAAAAAAAAAAAAAAAAAAGAACAGGTTGGGTGCAGTGGGAACACACCTGTAATCCCAGTGACTGAGGAGGCTGAGGCAGAAGAATTGCAAATTCAAGGCCAACCTCAGCAATTTAGTGAAACCCTGTCTCAAAATAAAAACAAAAAATAAAAGGGGTGGGAAGGGCTGGGGATGTAACTCAGTGGTAAAGCATCCCTAGGTATGATCCCCAGTACTATAAAAAAAAAAAAGAGGACAAAGGGCAGTTAGTTCCTCACCTTGTAGACACCAACTTAAATGACTAGATTTCTTTATTTGGAGCTATGAAACTTTCTACTTTATCCTTAATACATGCTGAAAAGAAGCCCATGGAGAACTAAGCCTCAGCCCACTTCCTTTCACATTCATCTCCCCATTTAGCTGAATACAAGTCTCTTTCAAACCTAACTGAAGATGAAAATCAAAAGCTTACTTGAGGGACTGGGTCTGTAGCTCAGTGGCAGAGCACTTGCCTAGCATGTGTGAGGCACTGGGATTGATCCTCAGCACCACATTTAAAAAAATAAATAAATAAAGGCATGCTGTCCGTCTACAACTATATGTAAAAAAATAAATAAATAAAAATAAAGCTTACTTGAGTTTTGCATAGATTTACATATAATTACTGGGATCATTATTTTCTATTAACATAAACTTTCTAAAAACAGCAAAACAAAACAAACAAACAAAACAGGTTGTATATCTTTTGAGAAGTAGAATCCAGCTTTGCCCAAGCCCCTGCTTGGTATGGTTGGGGTTTTTTACCAATGCCATTGCTCCTCCAGTCACAGAGAAACCCACCATCATGCTGCCTGGCCCATCTGATTCCCATCGCTGCTGGAAGCCACAGTAAACATGATGAGTGCCAGCTGGAAAGTGGAGAAAAACTCAATGCTGGAGTCTGGTCTGAATGACTCTTTCTGCTCACCTGTGAGACCAGAGATGCTAGGGCTAGGGGTAAGAGGACACATAACCCTTTCACTGCCCATTGGGCACCGCAGTTCAGGGTGTTGCTATTGGGAGTACTTGGAGTAGTGGTGAGGCCTTGTGAGAGATCTTTATTTAGGTAATTGGG